TTAGCTAACAAGAAAAATAAGTTTGCTTTAAAAAAGAAAAAAGTGTCTCCACCCCACCAAAAAAAAGAAAAATGAAAACTGTAAGTAAAAGGAAATTTCATGATCCAACAATTTCTTTTTAGTGTTGTTTTTTTATAAACAGACGCTTTTAGCTTATAAAAAATAAGTGACGCAAATTGTCAACAACTAGGTTTCTGGAATTCTATTTAAAATATCTAGAAATGTCCAGTGATAGTCTAAAAAACGTTTCCCATTCGCTATTCTTGTAACAATTCGTCACATATTCATTATAAAATACTAAAACAGCTGTAGCACTAATTGACCAATATGTGACAATAACTTTCTTGGCTTTTGAAGTAACCTTTTAGTTTTAGAAAAAAGAAAAAGAAATGTCGAATCTGAATAAGATTTTTTCATTTTTTTTAAAAAATAAATTCAGTTTTTTTGTTAGTCTTCTTAAAGATTACATAAACAATAATGGTACTCGTTGATCGACTATAATTTAATCTTTCTTTGCTATTATTATTAACATTTAGATAATTCTTTTAGCATGTGTTGGATACCAGTGAATGAGGTTGTTAGGTCATCATCAGGATTCACAAGAAATGTAACACGAACAGCCTCTAAAATAAAAGTCAGCTGATAGGTAAGAACGAAGAAGCTATTTTTCAATTACGGCTATTTAAGGGTTTTTCAGTTCGTCATAAACGATATTTAATTAAAAGTAAAACAAATAGAAAATACTTGTTCAAAATTTTAAAGTTTACATTACAGTTCATGTTTAGTTTGCGCCATATTCCGCCACGTGCACGCAGAAAGAGAATTAGACACGTAAAAAAAAAAAAAAAAAATTACCGGTAATTTATAAATTTAAGAACTGAAGTAGTTTTCTTTTATTTTTTAAACGAAAAAAATAAATAAATAAATAAATAAATTAAATCATCATGAAAAATAAATACCGAAAAAAGTTCATTTTTTTTTTTATATTTTTAATGAATTTTTAAAACTTTATTTTTTAATCCATTGTAAGTAAAAGAATTAATTGTGATATTGAGTTTGTATGCATTATACACCGATAACATTTAAATTATCAAAACTTCGTGTTTTACTTTACTACACAAGAATATGGTTCAATACAAACTTTTGCAGACAGTCTGTGTATGATGATCAACTGTGTAATGGGACAACACAACAGTGCAGTAGAACCCAGTTGTTTGTGCGTAACGTAGAAGTAGTAACATAAATGACTATCATTGTTATTACAGAGATCAAGAAGAGACAAATGAGAGAAGAAAAAAAATGATAAAAATGTTACGAACATTGACACAGCGAAAAAAAAAAAAAAATTGAGATCTAAACAAATTAGTTTTTATTTTTACAACTGAGCAAACAACGATTTCTTGGTCAACAAAAATAAAATAAAAACAGGTCACAAAAACGATGCGTAATCCACAAAATAAATAATTACCCGAGCTAAAACAAGTTTGGTATAGAAACAAAAGATTAATTAATACTACCAGAGGTTGTATTTTTTGCTCTTTTACGGAAATATTTCAGGGTTAAAAATCTAAATTGAGCAGTAGTAGCTTTCTGGTCGACATTTAAAACAAGTCACCAACAAATATTAACTGAACCACTTGGGATAGGTCCATAGAAAAAAAAAAAAAAAAAAATACACATCAAAATTTAGATTTAAATACAAGTGAAACCCCAAAGAAAACTTACTTCAGATAAAAAAATAAAGAAAAAAAAAATTTGGAGTTTGTTGGGACGTAGGAAGATAACAAACAATCGGACACAATGTGGTGTTTTCGCGGGAAATTAAGCTGTGGACATTTAATTTCAAAGTCAGGCGCTTAAAGAGAGAGAGAGAGAAAAAAAGAAAGAGAAGGAAAGAAAACGCACCTTGAGGGGGTAAATGAGTTTGCCACGTAAAAATATCTCTCTTTGACATTATGGGACAGAACAGAGTCTTTTTGAGGGTCAGAATTGAGTGCATGAATTTCTCTAACTTACCTGAATATCAAAAAAAACGTTTATATGAACCTGTTAGTCGCTCCAAGAGAGATCCTAGCTTAAGCTTGGTTGGCACACACACACACAACATTCGCCATATACACTACCGGAAGTTTGCAACCAACCCACGTGATTACGCCCTTTCATTAGAAACCAGACAAGCACTGCCTTAACTCCCTTCTTTTTGCAAATATAAATAAATACTGAATAAATGATAATAAATAAATTAATAATAATAATTTTACTTCATATTTTCCCTGAAATAAAAACTTTCTCGTTTTTGATTTTTCATGACATAAAGCAAAGAAAACTTTTTCCAATTAAATTTTCAAAGAAACAAAAAAAAAATCATTTTTAAAAAAGAACGCAAAAAATAGCTTTTTAAAAAAAAGTCGACATTTATATAACTTCTTATTTTATAATTAATCAAATAGTTAAAATTATTTAATTTAATTGTTCACATATGTCAACAAATCTTTTTTTTTTTAGTTCACTTCACACACTAAACATAAAAAAAATAAGCTATTTTAAAAACTACTTGTGTCAAACTTTTTTTCTTGTCTACTTTCCGTGTTGTCAAGTTTTTTTTTCTAAGGAAAATAAAGAAAAATGTGATGAAAAGAAAAAGTAAAAAAACATCCTGAACTGGATCATATAATCTTTTTTTCCCCATTTATTTGATACGAGTCAAAGTAACGAACGAGTGACTCAAAAAGTTTTACAGATGGCTATGTGCTTTTTATTTTTTTATCCTTTTTTTCTGGGAGGAAGGGAATCTCTTCTTAATTCTTATTTTTTGCTGCATCAGCACATATATCAGCATGAAATTTTACAACAGGCCCCAATAAGCTCTTTTAAATATCCCTTTTTATTGCTCATGTCATCATCATTTTCTTGCTTTTTTTTTTTTTTTTATAAAATGAGGCGTATCATCAAATTATTATCTCTCCCTGTTTTATTTTATTTATTATTAAATTTATTTATTAAAAGTAAAATATTATTTCACATTTACAAACAAAAACTTAAAACAACTAGAGAGATGATGAGACTACATTTTTATTTATTTTTTGTGGGGTTGGTTATTTCAATTTCGAAAAAAAAAAGAAATCTGCTGACTCGGTGGGGGTATATAATTTTTTTTTTATATGCATTAAAAAAAAAAACTCCAACAACACAAGCTTCTGTTTCTAAAACGCATTTTTCAAAATAAATTTATGTTCAAAATATTTTGCTGCAAAATACAGCAAGCAATTTTTTTTTAAAGATTTTTTTTTTATTTCACTTCTTGACAAACTAATAATTGTACAAACAAACAATATTTAATTTTCTCAACATAACAACACGAAAAACAAAAAGACACGTTAACTAATAATTTTTTTTAAAGAATATTATTATTATTAAAAAAAAAACAGCTTCGTCTGGCACAAGGCCATAACAGTAGTGAACGTAAATTAGATCGATCTAACAAAATTAGCCTGCTAATAGGTAGCCATCATTTTATGGCAGACAGACTCTCAAGTTGCTACGCGTGACTCACATTTTGTTACCAAGTTTAACCAGACTTCATTGTTTTTTTACTTTTTTTTTTTACTCTCACCTTGAATGTCAAACAAAACGGTGTTTGCATCTTCTTTCTTTATTATTTTCAAATGTGTTAAGAAGGATGAGTCTCTGAAGTCTAAAAACATGCCTAAAATTTAAGAGAAAATATTTAAATTCTTCAGTAACCTTTTGAGCCGGTTGTTCACAACGACTGATTATTAATTAAAAAAGGACTAAAAAAAAAAGAATTGAAAAAATTCTACTCTACAAGTTTAGTTTGCTTATCGACTAATGAAAGTATTTGAAATAGAAAAACCAATTTCCAACATTTTTGGAATTATTCCAAGATTATAAAAATGTAATTAGATTCAACACAGATTTTTTTTCTCCATATAATGAACACTAGCAGGGATACATGTCATTGTCAGGGAAAAATAACTTCAAATATAACACCCCCACCAAAAAAAATGTTTTTTACTAGCACAACATAATAAACGAAAAAACATATTCGCATATGAAAAAGTAGCTGTTAATAAAAAAAAAGTTCTATAGAACAAAATGAAGCCAATGAGAGTTATTTAGTTGGACAGGGTTTCCAGGTAGATAAATGAAAAAGTTGTTTAAGGATCAATTCCTATACAAGCCAAAATGAAAGTGGCCATAGACAAGTTTCAAGAAGTCAGGTTGATGTAAACAATTTTGAGAGATGGTCTTTGCACCTTGTTGATGGTCATGGATCAAAATGTCCCCATGTCATGATCATGGTCAAAAAACAACATTATTGTCATGAATACTCAGAACACACCCATTTTGAAACATCTGAGGTTAATCTCAGAGGTCATCAAACAGAGCCAGACTATCATTTCTTGCAAAATAATAAAGTGAGATATTCAATTTGCCATGAAGTAGAAAAATTATTTTTGACTTCACAAATGGTCAGGTTGATAAGGTCATCAGAGGTCATTTTTAGTAGAATTAATTTGGAGTTTTTATTTATTATTTTTAGAGCCAATTACATTCTTGGAGGTAAATTAGGTAAAAGTTCACTGGAAGTCCCCAGAGATTAATTTTAGATTAAGATTGATTGAGTGATTCATTTTTTAGGACTTATCAACACTTCATTGGCTATTTAAAGCCAGAAAATATTTTTAGATTTTAAGAATTTTTTTCGTTGATAATAATGGTTTAGTGATACAATTCTTACTATTTAACCCATAACCCATTTGTAGCTTTTCCAAGGCTATTTGCATGCAAGTGAATATAATAAACCCAGCTAGAATTGGAACTTGGCTCTCCAATTAACAATTCCAAGCCATTACCCATTACACCATCCACCTCATCCAAGTTTACAGCACCTGGTATGCCCAAGTGGTCACCCATCTAGGTACTGACCAGGCTCAACATTGCTTAACTTACGCATTACACCACCTGCACATCCAAGTTTACAGCACCTGGTATTCCCAAGTCGTCACCTATCTAGGTACAGACCAGGCTCGGCATTGCTTAACTTCTGTGATCATACAGGAACCAGTGTTTCAACATGACATGTTTGTAAGCAGTTTTAGATTAAGATAACTTTTTCTTTTTTTTTTCAGTCAAACACGTGAACTTGATAGGTAAAAAATATTTTTTTTGCTTTTGTCTCTAAACTGTTGCACGACCCTGAAAAAGATTTTCAGAAAAAAATATTCGGTACAGATTTTTTGTTATTTTTTTTGACTGTTTTAAAAATCAAAGTTGGTCTCCCAAACTATAGCAGCTAACAGTAACTCTGTAAGTGAGGAATTCTTGCAATCAAAGAAATAAACTCAAACCTGTTACAACAGATTGCTGGGAAGGTTCAGTCAACTGTTTTGGACACTTCTGAAGCTGTTCAAAAACAAGTTCAGTTCCTCAACTCGCTTGATCTGCCTGGTGTTCCTTTTCATAATCTTCAATTAAAAGTTGAGATGCTCATCATGCTTCTGTTGTGCAATGGAACTTGCATAAGTGTCAAATATCTTCTCTTACATGTCATCAAAGCAAATGTCCTAATTGCACTAGGCAAAACAATCATGCAATGGCATATCTAGAGGAGGGGTGGAGGGGGACTTTTATGGGGGCGTCACATTTGTGTCTGCTGTAGGCCATAAGCCTGTATAGGCTGTTTTGAAATAAAACTGGTTTTAATGTCGGGACAGTAGTTACAATTGAAGGACCTTTTCAAGTAACTTAAAATATGGCTTATATATTGGCCTATCTATGGTCTACAGAGTGACACTTGACAGATGAAATAGTTTTTGATGGCGTCGTTGAAGAATTTGCTAACAAAAACAGCAAGAAAAGTTACTTCATAAAAAGATGTAATTTTCATTTCAGAAATAAAAATGGTCCTAATTTTTACACTCACCCACCCCCATATGCCATTTTTGTTTTTTAACTATTATTGGTAAAGTTTAAGTATGCTTGGTGTGTTTTTAAAGCATACTATATTTGGTATGTGAAAGTAAGATTATAATAATACACAAACTAGTTTTATAACTTTAAAAGTGAGTCACTGTGCAATATGTATTTTTGTTGGAGCCAGGGGTCGGCAAACTCAAGGATTTCCCCAGGTGGCACACACTCTAGCGGTGCCACTGCAAACATGTATTATTTTTCATGATTGCCATAAGTCTGACTTGCCCTTTGAATTCAAGTGATTACAAATCCTAGTGAGGCTCAGTTTTGCTGTGATCATCAACAAAGCAAAAGGACAATCTATTGAGATCATTGACATCAACCAGACTTCTCCAAGCTTTTTCCATGAGAAAATCTATATTGGTTGTTCTCGGGTTGGATCCCCAAATAACCCTTTTATACTGGCACTCTGTGGGATAAACAGTAATATTGTGTACCCAGAGCTCATGTCAAACTAAGGAACTATCATTTGTTTTATTTTTTACCTTAAAATGCTTTTTTTTCAGTAGTAACTTTTTTATCATGTATATTTCTTTTCATTTGTTGTGTTGTTTTTATATTTGATGTTATTCCAACTCCTCTGCCATCTTATAAATATATATATATATTTTTTAAGACATTAATATGTTTATACATTCTTTTTTTATAGATACAAATATTTAAGTAAATGTTCTGTTTATAATAAACAGTATTAACAACATTTACCGGCCTAAATGTCCGAGAAATTGCCATAGAAAATATGCGTCCTCCAACAGGAATCAAACCTGTATCCTATATAGGATCATTTCAGTTAGCAAGGTCGATTTTACTGTTTTTAAACTACAATTTTCCATGATTTTCTCATGTACATTCATATCTGCTCGATTCGTATCCAAATGTAAACCTTGCTAACCGAAACGCTCCTCTGTGACAAAATTGGTAAAAGCACATCAGGCTATATGATGGTTCCATATGGGGTACAAGTTCGATCCCTGTCAGAGGACACATATTTTCTATGGCAATTTCTCAGTCATTCAGGTCAGTAAATGTTGTTAATACTGTTTCTTATAAACAGAGCATTTACTTAAATATTTGTATCTATAAAAAAAAGAATGTATAAACATAAAAATGTCTTAAAATAATTGTCGGATTTTGTCCATTTCATAATATACATATATATATATATATATATATAGTTGTATATTTAGGCAGCAATCCTTCCTTTATACATGTTTCATTAAAAATTTACAAAAACCAAATGCATATTAATTACAAACAAGACGAATCTTCTCTAAGGCATATTATAAAGAAATATACTACTCCTATTGATCCGAATAAAAAAATCAAACTTATTATATATTATAAAAAATTTAAGACGGCCAACCTTATCCTCAAAAATAACAACACACCAACTAAGTCAAAATTACAAAGAACGAACATTATCTATGAGTTCAAATGCCCTTTTAAGGAACTGCGTTCCTCACCAAACCGACTCATAAATAATTACATCGGCTACACAACCACATGTTTATCCAGACGTCTTACGTTACACCTATCTGATCACAGTTCCATCAGAACACATTTAAACACACACTCAGATTTACCCGACACTATTAGGAACATACTAGTAGAAAACACAAAATATATTAACTGCATCCACTTGCAAAAAAAAGACTAAAAGATAATGGAAGCTCTAATAATAAAAAAGAAAAAGCCAACTCTTAACAATATTAACTATGAACAAAGCCACAATGTGCTAACCGTATTCGGAAACTAAAAACATCACTACCACACACTGAACATACACAGAACACACACACTCTACTAAGCTGATAATCGAATCATCATTGATAATGGCTAAAGGTATAGCCGAAAGCGCTCGGAAATACAAAACATTCAGACAGTTCTTACACACCCTTTGTCCAGAAAAGAAAGCTCTTGTCAGAACACAAGAAAAATTAAATAAAAAGCTCAACCGTAGTACCTTGTCTGTCGTTTTTAATGAAACATATATATATATATATATATATATATATATATATATATATATATAAATATAAATATCTAGGTGTCTGTATTTATTTATCTATTAAGTATATCTTTGTCAACATATGTGCAAAGGTATATCTGTTTAATATTTTATAAAATTTTTCCACTCCTCCTACTATCCTTTACCTTGAGAAGAGTCAGATCAGGCCCAAATTGGAGTACTGTTGTCATATCTAGGCAAGAGCTGCCCAGACCTCACTCTCCAGCCTTCCTCAATAGAGTTCAAAAGCATTTTCAAGTTCTTGTGTGTGACTAACTATTCTCCACCCTTCAACTGGTATGATGTGGCAAGCCTCTTGTTGCTCAGGCAAGTCTTCTATAGAAAGTACTTGGAAGAACTTCATTCCCTGGTCCTGCTGCGGCAAACCTTCAGAGCAACAACATGCCACGCCCCTCAAATAGTAGCAAACCACCCACATTCTCTTGGTGAGAAGTAAGTTCCACTCAAGCATTTCTTCCTGCAAACCACTGCTCTTCTGGATTTTACTCCCAACAAAATGTTTCCCCACTCACTACAATCTTAACCTTCTCAAGGCTAAGGTTAATCATTATCGCCCTCACCTATACACATAAATGGCCTTCCAACCTAACCCTCTACATTGAGTGGCTCACAGGCCTTGTAAAGGGTAATTCTCACTTTTGATCAAGTACTTTTAACTGTCTCAGTCATTATCAAGAACTATGTCTTGTCAGTCATATTCCATTGACGGAAGTTTGAAACAGTTTCAAGTGACATCATGTGCACCTGGAATATATATATATATATATATATATATATATATATATATATATATATATATGGTGAAGTAATGGATAGCAGCTCGAATTGAGGAATTGGAGAGCTGAGTTTGAATTCCAGTTGAATCCATTACATTCACATACATGCTAATACCCTTGAGAAAGGTATGAATCCTCTTCTTCTCTTCCCAGCTATGGATAAATAGCAGGACAAATCCAGTTCTATAGCCTTGGATAGCAACTGGTCTACCGCAGAAAGGAATGGCAACTTACTGTGGGAAACTGCCTTATTAGTCATGTATCAAAAGATACGTGATTGCCTAAGCATGTATCATGCTTGACACATAACTGACTGATATATATATATATATATATATATATATATATATATATATATGTATAGATGCATTTCGTCTTCTGATTTTTTCAAGGCAAAAATAAAATCAAAATATTTTAGTTTATATATAAATTAATAGAAATAAGAATAAGCAGCTCCCAAAAGAGTTTGCTTAAGATTGCAAATTGGCAAAAAGAATGCACTATGCAATATTAAATGTCAGAGATTTAATATCTTTTTTCACACACTACAGTCACTGACTGCCACAAGTTTGCATGAAAGTGTATGAAACTGGCAGTCATGGTTACTCACTGCCCACTTGAAATATTTATATATATATATATATATATATATATATATATATATATATATATATATATATATACTGGGTGTAATAGCAAAATTATCCAAATCATGTATCAGAATAATTGCCAATCCCACAAAATGTTTAATATATAAAAAAACAACTAAACTAATTGAGTTTCTTCTTCCCAGATTCTCAGATAAGACACTACATTATTTGAACTATTGTCCTCATCGTTGTCGCCATATTTATTACAACGTTTCAGCCGTTATACACTCCAGCCATTTTCAGGTGTTTAGAATGTCAAACTGAACATTTTCTTTCGCTCACTGGGGTAGACTGTTCTAGTTCCATGTGCTATGTTTAATAAATGTTAGTTATCAGTCATCTCCTGTTAACCAACGCCTTTATCCACTGTACCAGTTGTCCTTGACGCATGGCACAGTGGATAAAGGTGTTGGTTAGATCCAGTGACAGGACCCAAAAAGAGTGTGAGTTCAATACCCAATTAAGGCAGTGGAGAACTTGGAGAGGGGAATTAACAGGAGATAACTGATAACTGACATCCATGGCACGTGGAACTAGAACAGTCTACACCAGTGAGCGAAATAAAGGGTTCAGTTCGACATTCCAACCACCTGAAGAAGGCTGGAGCATACAACGGCTGAAACATTGTAATAAATATGGCGACAAA